TTTAGAGAACGGGTCTCGTAATTGCTATGGTAATTGGGCGCTGGATTTGCCTGCGAGAGCTTGTTGGATATTTTAAACATTAATTTTTGAGCAAAGGAGAGAGTTGGGCTTTTATTTGCATTCTGCGGTGGTGCGAAGGAGTGGTCTTTCCTACAGCGCCGGTTGATCCTTAAGATGAGTTGAAAGTTTTGTCGGTGAATTTTCTCAACTCGAAACCGGACTGTGCGGTGTGTGTGAAAGATACCACTAAGAAGAAGAAGAAGAAGAAGAGATTGGATTTATACCCCGCCCTTCACTTGGAGTCTCAGAGCGGCTTACAAACTCCTTTCCCTTCCCCTCCCCACAACAGACACCCTGTGAGGTGGGTGGGGCTGAGAGAACTCTGACACAAACTGCTCTTTTTCAAGGACAGCTCTGAAAGAGCTTGTGACTGACCCAAGGTCACACCAGCAGGTGCAAGTGGAGGAGTGGGGAATCAAACCCGGTTCTCCCAGATTAGAGTCCACACACTTAACCACTACACCAAACTGGCTGCCACTACACTAAAACGTGCCCTGGGTGGTTCTGGTGCATAAGGCTGCCCTGTTGCCTGTTACTGCCAGGAACCTTGTTTTTTAAAAAAAATGCAACAGGAGAACACCAGAGTGAACTCTTGGGACTAGGGTTGCAGGACTTCAGGTAGGTGCAGTTTGGGGAGGGGCTGTGGTTCAGTGGTAGACAATCCGTTCGGCATGCAGAAGGTCCCAGGTTCAATCCCGGGTATCTCCAGTTAAAAAGATCTGGTAGCAGGTGATGCAAAAGACCTCAGCCTAAGACCCTGGAGAGCTGCTGCCAATCTGAGCAGACAATAACCAAGGGTCTGATTCTGTAGAAGGCAGTTTCATGCGTAGGGCCTGGCGATCTCCTGCTATTACAAACTGATCTCCATATAATAGGGATCCGTTCCGCTGGAGAAAAGGGCTGCTTTGGAGGGTGAGTTCTATGACATTATACCCTGCTGAGGTCCCTCCCCACCCCAAACCCCACCCTTCCCAGGGTCTGTCCTCAAATCTCCAGGAATTTCCCAAACTGAAGTTCACAACCATAGTTTTGTGGTATTATCCAGAAGGTATGTCGGAGTGAGGGCAGGAGGCAGTTCTTATCCGTTGCTCTGATGTCCTGGTTGGTAGACACACGGCTGTGTTGCAAAAGAGCTAAAGGGGACAGAAGTTTGACCTGTTCACTGTACATTCAAAGCTGACTTCTACTGAGTTAGACCTTTGGTTTAACAAGGTAAGTCTTGTCTTCTTTGAATGGCAACGGCTCTCCAGGTCCTCAGCGTGAAGTTTTTCAGATCATCTGCTACCTGATGCCATGGACTGAACTTTGGATCTTCTGCCTGCAAAGCAGATGCTCTGCCACGGAGCCATGGCCCACGCTGTTCATTCCCTCCTTCCCAGTGTCAGTGCCCTGCGTCCTCAGCGTTGCTCCTTTCACGAAGGGTGCTGAAGTTGGTGGAGAGAGATGTGCAGGCAAGCAAAAACCAAGTTCTGAGGTTTAGGCAAGGATGGGGCTGCCTGGCCGAGGGAGGCGGATGGAGGCAGTCTGTTTGGGGGAGGGGCTGTGGCTCAGTGGCAGAGCATCTGTTTGCTGTACTGAAGGCCCCAAGTTCAATGCCTAGCATCTCCAGTTAAAAGATCAGCTAGCAGGTGATATGAAGGACTCTATCTATCACCCTAGAGAGCCATATAATAATGTTGGCCCTCTCCTAGCTAAGTCACATGTAGGGTTGAAAGACTCTCCCCAGAGGAGGGAGGGTCCCCCGCTGCCAGGGGTCACCCTCCAGCCACCAGTCAGCTGTCTGGCAGGGGGACTTACTAGTAGAAAAAGGCTGCCTTGGCCACATTGTTGGTGTTGCACAGGAAGTGATGTCATCACATCAGCAACTTCAAGATGACATTCTAGTATTTGGGCAAAAATGCTATGGCAGAAGCCATTTCTACCAGAGAGTTTTTGCCCAAATACCAGAGCGTCCCCTGGAAGTTGCTGGCGTGATGTCGTCACTTCCTGTGCGGTGCCGATGATGTGGCCTGGACCTTTCACTTTCTCCTGGTAAGTCCCCCACCATCTCCCGCCAGTTGCCAAGAGGGATGTGGCAACCCAAGTCAGATCTCTTCATATTGGAGGGCAGGAACAAAGCCTGGCAATGGTACTCCTAGGGTTGCCAACCTCCAGGAGGGGCCTGGAGATCTCCCAGACTACAGCTTCAGTGGACAGACTCTATGGGATCACATCCCTGCTGAGCCCCCTCCCCAAACTCCACCCTCCCCAGGATCGGCCCTCCAAAATCCCCAGGAATTTCCCAACCCAGAGCTGGCAACCCTAACCACACCAGAGGTGTGACTTTTGACTTGCAGCCTGACGATCTCAAATTAGGTTGAACTTTTACATAAGTATGTATACCAAGTCAGAGCACTGATCCCATAAGCCCATGAGGGCCTTCTGTGACTGGCAGCAACTCTTCAGGGCAGAGGTCCCCAACCTTTTTGAGCCTGCTGGCACCTTTGGAATTCTGACGTAGTATTGTGGGTGCAGCCACCAAGTGGCTGCTGCAAAATGGCTGCTGTAGGAGGCAGGGCCAGCCACGAAGCAGCTGCTGCAGCTGACCATTCACACGGTGACGATCCTTGTGCTGTGGTGGCAGCTGCTGCAAAAGCAACATTTTCAAAAATCTACGCAGCCAACCTTGCTGGGCACTTTCTAAAAACACTTGATAGGCACCAGGTCAGGTGTTGGGCACCACACCGGGGACACCTGCTCTGGGGTCCAAGGTGCAGAAAGATCTTCCTCATGCTGCCAAAGCAACATTTTCAAAAATCTATGCAGCCAACCTTGCTGGGCACTTTCTAAAAACACTTGATAGGCACCAGGTCAGGTGTTGGGCACCACACCGGGGACACCTGCTCTGGGGTCCAAGGTGCAGAAAGATCTTCCTCAGCTCCTGTTACCCATAAGTAGAGATGGCAGGAACTGAACCTGGGACTTTCTACATGCAAAAAGCAGGTGCTGTACCCCTGAGCCACAGCTTCTGGCCAGTTCTCGCTTGTTTAACTTACTTCAGACTGCTGTTTGCAGTAAATACATGTTTGCCATGTTCTCAATGGCCCTTTCAAAACAGGGGACAATTTTTTTTAAAGTCCACCATCAGTGCGCATCGCACATACAGGCACAGCACGTGTCTTATTCATGAGGTTTCGGACTTCAGGGTACCCATCCCTTATGGTTATTCTTTGGTTATTATTAACCGCTCTGGCTCCAAACTGTTGCTCCCTACATCATGCAGGAGGGCTATAAAACTTTGCATTCTGCATTTTCCATGTTTGAAAGTGCCATTATCTTGTAATTTCCTCACACATTATCTTGTTGTAGACAAGCCTTTGATGTGGGTATAAAAGTCTCCATGTTCACATTTTGCTCATAAGACATGCCTACATCCCCTGCCATTAGTTTTAAAAGCTCAACTATCACATTTTCCATGCTTGAAGAGCAAGTTTGCCCCAGAGGTATGTTGTGTAATGTCGGGAAGACTCTTTCTTGGTGGCCAATCTATTTCATTGTGATTTGTTTTATTGCCGCGATTTTGGTGCTGAGTTTGGAACTGACACCAAGAAGAGGAGTTCTCAGATTCCAAAGTTTGTGAGAGAGAAATCTGTCTCTTAGAATCCAAATTTTGAAAAATTGCTGGATCACAAATTGTGGTTGCCAACTCCAGCTCGGGAAATTTCTGGAGATTTGGAAGCGGAACCTGGGGGAAGCAGAGTTTGGGGAAGGAGCTCAGGAGGTACGTAATGTCATAGACATAGTCTGAAGTTGCCGTTTCCTGTGGGGGAGCTGATTTTTGTAGTCTGGAGATCAGTTGTAATCCGGAGAGAACTCCAGGCTCTACCTGCAAGTCGTTGCAGTCGCCGCAGCAGGGGAGTCCCGGGTGGCGACTGGAGCACACACCGCATGCACATCACCCGGAAGTGACGTTAGGACAGCGGGCACGCTGGGGTCGGGGCCACGACCCTTGGAGGGAAAACCATAGAGTTTTCCCTCCGATGATCGTGACCCCGCCCCCAGCGTGCTCGGCGTCCTAACGTCACTTCCTGGTGACGCGCACGTTGGGGCAGGGTTCCCCCCGGGGCCCGATCCGCCGGCAGCAGGGAACAGGCCTCTGGGGCGGGGTTTTCCCCGCCCCCCGGGGGGACTTGGCAGCCCTAACTCTAGCAGAAATATGTGTTACACTTGCCTCTGCTCTAAGAGCAATTTCAGGCATGGAAATCAGTCCCTGATTTTCTTGCATATGATCTTTTCCATGTGTGTGTTTGGATACAAAGGGGGAAATTCTGTGTGAATTCTGCAAGTGTAGCCACCATCCATTGCTGGCATAGCCTGGCTGACGGGGAGGTTTCTCCATTAGGAGTGACTAAATCCTTCCTATTGAATCTCTGTTTTCTATTAGCTTATATTTTGGTCAGTGGTTTTGGTTCTCTGCTCTTTTAAAACTATTGGTTGTATACGTCTGTCTCGTATATACATGCTGTACTGTTTTTTATATGCAAGGTATACAGTATATGTCCTTTGTGTATATAATGTATGTACCTAGACTGCTGGCTGATCCATGCAGAAACGATGTTGGAAAATGCATTTTACTGGGGGGAAATTGGGTTTGAAAGAGAGGAAAACAGGGGAAAACTAAGAAATTATGGGTTTGATTAACACAAACTAGTAGCAAGATTGAAGCAGGGTTTTCTGGGTTGAAGTCGCCAGGGTGAGACATGAAAAATTGTTTCTCCTCTCTGTGTGATCATATACACCAAAGGGAGCACATGGTAAGGCATAAGGGTCTGTTTCTGTGGGT